TCTACAAACGAGCCGTGAAGGGCTTAAGAGGCGTGGTGATTCCCAACAGGTACCTGGCTCCACGCATGGGGGATCGTATGCTTTGTTGTTGATCTCGTTCTGCTGTAAGATAGTTAGGCTCAAGCCTTCAACACGAATCATCGTTCCCTACCTCCCATTGACGGCACAGGGCAAGCACCAGTTCTGTTTTCCATTTCCGATGCTGCATTTGTTCAGTCAGTCCAAAAGCAAGCCAAGGTCTTTCTCAGTACAACACCCAGCAACCTCCGAACTTCATAAAGCAAATGGGCAATGACGACAGTGCTGTTATCTGAGACGTGTTTTCCTATTTTGTGGCTTGGGGTGACATTTCCAGACGTGGCACAGGAATGTGGGTTCCAGCACCACAAGTGACTCCAGCCCCTAGGTGCCCCAGGAAAACTGAAGATGAAGGGGTCCTGGGTTCTTAATGTCTGGCTCCTTTTGGAAAGTGGGAGCTTTGAGATTCTGAAAATTTGAAGCATTGGGCTCTGACCATCACAGGACTTGGGCAGAGCTTGGGTGCCTGACCCACAAGAAGTGATCTGAAATATCCCCAGCCAGCAGCCGCTGACCCCCTTGGGTGCTTCCCCGCTGGATCTCAGGGAGCCGAACTCTGGCTTCTGCGCGCTGCAATGTCCCGATCCGGGGAGTGGCAGGCCGGATCTGAACTGCCCTCGAAGGCATCTCCACCTCAGCATTTTGATGTCTAACATTTAGGTTCCTTGCCCAGGGGGTTTATGCTTCCTGGGCAGCAAGTTGGGAGACTAGTGTCTCTTGAAGATGTTCCTAATGGTTTTGATGCTCAATAAAAGCAGGTGAAGGAGTGCCACATCCAGGAGGGTGTCTGGACCCCTGCTTCTCCTTGGAGCGGAGGCATCTAACCTGGAGATGCATTGTGCATCATGCATCCCTGACTTCAGCTTACAACCCAGCAGGCCTTCTGAATGAGGGGCTTTGGTGATGCAGATGGTGCCTGCCTTTGCCCAGTAGCCTGGTGTCCAGGCCGCTCACCCACGAAGCAGGAGATCTGGGTTTTAGACCCTTTTCAGTCTGCATGGATTCAAACCCAGGTCTCCCACTTCCTAGGAAATGGCCTGGCTAGGTTACGTGCTAGGCTGGGGAGGGGGCTCTTGCCTCTCCTGCGCAGCCAAGAGTACAAGGTTCATGGGGTACGAAGGGGAATAAGCTAGAGAGCTGAACTCTGCAGCCCAGGGAGGAGGCACTGTTCTAGATGGGAGTCCTGTGCTGTGGCCACTGTTAACTATTTGCCTGTTGAATGTAAAAGGGCTGCTATTTTCATAAGGACCCGGGAACCCCGCAGGGTCCATTAAAGACCTCGACTTTTTGTTTCATCCAAGAAACTGCACCTGTTGCACAACACTCAGGTGAGCGGGAAAAGTCCCACCTCCTGAATTACCCTGGCACTCGCCCCAGCACCTACACGGGGCCTTAAAGATCTCCTCTCCAGAGGCTGAGTTTGCTGAATCAAAGGGGATCAGAGCAACAGAAGGTTTAGCCTGGACAGCCTGTCCCTTCATCTTCTGCAGTTCCTGGGGTTGGGTTTCTCTTACCGAGGACAGAACACATTGCATGCGGCATTTGCCACACGTGCAACGACCTTCATAAGGCTGCAAAGCAACCAGATGGCAAATCGGTTCCTGCTAATCAAGGAGGGGTCGTAGGAACTGCCAAACTCTGGATAACTCCCCATGGGAATGTACGCTCCCAGGAGCGCCTGGGTCGGTGCGGCAAAGCAAGAGAAAGATCCCTGAAACAAGGGGTGAGCAGAGAACAACCAGAGAGCACTGACTCCCTGCAAGCCCCTTCCAGGCTTTTATGCTGGGTGCCTTAGCTGTTTAAAGATCAGTACAAAACCTGTGTGGCAGACACTGAAGAGAACAGTCTTTGCGCCCGGGGAATGGACGCAGGGCTGTTCTTCAGCTATTTCGGAGAAGTCGATACCAATTCCACAGAAGGGCAGTGTTATAATGAGGCCCCATCCTTCATGGAAACCATTAAACAGTGTCTGAAACGTGCCACTTCCCTTTGATTTTATGCCTCTTATTTAAACTGCACTGAACCGTAACCATTCATGCCAATGAGGTTTGTCATCCGGTTCCCGGGAGGTGGCTCTGGGAGGCTGAGCGGGTCCGAGACACCCGTGTGCCCCTGGCTGAGTGGAGCAGGCGGGCATGACTCCCCCCCGCTTCCATTACATTTGGTGCTGTGCTCAAACCCTGGGAGCCGGGAAGCTGCTTGCCTGTGCCGTGCGCTCTCAAGGGGCGCCTGTGAGGAGCTCCATTAGGATGCTGAACTTCCTGTCTCGCCGTTAATAGGCTCTGTCTCGTTCGGGGTAATCCACCTGGCTCCGTATACGCGCGTGGAAGGCAGTGGCAGGTCTGCTTCCGTTTGGGCAGATGGGTCGGAGAATGCAGACTGCGATGTGCTTTCAGCCTGGCGCCCTGGGGAACGGGGCTGCGCTGCTTCCATTTATATTAATCGCTGACATTATGCAGGCAGAAAGCACACGGGACAGCATGCGCAAAGGAGAAGGGGGAGCAGGATCCCCCTGCCACGCTGCCGAGCCGCCCTGGACTGCAGGAAAGGGGGAGCAAGAGCGAGCATGGCAGAACCGGGCCCAGCAAACAACCACGTCAGCCCTTCTCACCCCTGTCCTTCATCCACTATTGCACTGCTGCAGTCTGCAGCACGGTTCCTTCCCTCATTCATATGATGCTCCAATATTTCACTAAGGGTGGTCTACACAAAGAGGCCAGGAAGGCAGGTTGTTTCCTGTAAGGGCTTTCTCCAAAGGCTGGGCAGTGGGTTGTCACTGTTCAAAATAGTGCCAGCGTTACCCTGGGCTTCTTTCTTGACTCTGCATCTGCTGCTGAAGGTGAGATGATGCATGCAATCTCTTTGGGACAGGGACCATCTCTGGCAGGGGTTTGTACAGGGCTTAGCACAGTGAGGACCAGACCTAAAGACACTATTGCAATACGGGGATAATAATGCCACCTGAATGGAGCAATGAAGAATTCACTCCCTAGTGCACATCTCCAGTGTCTACTTCCAGTGCATCTCCAACAAGTGCTTTGCTGGGGACAAGGCAACTGAAGCAGCTTTACTGGTAATGAAGCCTTCATTTCCTTAGCATAAAGGAACATATTAAAATGGGATCTGCCAGACACGATTAAAACAGTGGTCCAGGGATACTCAACCAGGGTGTTGCGGCACCCTGGGGTGCTGCGAGATCCTATGAAGAGCGCCCCAGAGAAAGGAGCAAGAACCACTGCAGTGGCCAGATACAGAATACACTGTCCAGAGGGAGCCTCCGTTGGAGGAGCTCGTGCCTCACAGAATGGAAGCAAAAATACCTTTGCTAATACTTGGGGATGCTCTGATACATATAAATGCCTATTTTCCTCAGCCTATCCAAGCCGGTTGCCACAACAGAATCTAGCTGCAAGGAGTTCTGTGGAGTCATCAGGAATTAAATAAAACAGTATGTCCTTCTTTCATTTTAAAGTGAATGCCTTCGAGTTTTGTTCCATGCCCCTGCTTTTTTTCTTTTATCAGAGAGAGGATAAATAGACAGAGGAGTCGATGCAGAACAGGTTTAGCCAGACATGCCGGTTTATAAATTTGCAGCTTAAAAAATTCCGAGGAGCTATTTATTCCTCTTGATTTCAGTCTTTAAAAAATCATAACCAGTTCTGATACCGCACTCTGGCCTTTTATAAATGAAAGGGGTTTTTGTATTCCATAAGTCAGTCCACTTTGTATACGCTTGCTAGGCGCCGTGTTCAGCTAGCTTAGTATTCTGCACAAAAAAGTAGTGACAAAGCCTGTAATACAGAACATGATACAGAAAACCCTCGGTACGCTGTACAAGTGTGAATTTTGCAAACCTGAGGCAAAAGGTGCAAAGTTCAGGCGGGAGGTTTTTGCCTTTAGCCCATGCTAAGGAGCTGTGCTAAGACTCAGATCCTACAAACCACTTCCTCGCTCTCAGTCCTGCTTTACTGGCACACTAACCAGAGGAACCACGTTACATAGGCCCCGGGGATTTGATGAGCTGGGAGGACAAAGGGAAATCGGTTTTTTGTGACATAATAGGTCTTTTTCCATCTTTGGGTCCCAGGAAATGAGGTGGTCAGAGATGTTTGACTCCTTGCTGCCCCGTCGATGGATGGGAGCACTCCAGAGGCTGAGGACTGCGTGCATCCCCTGATGAATTGCTACCTGGGTCTGCCCCGCAAGGAGCAGCGCATGTACAGTGCACAGTGAATAAAATCCACCTGTCTGGTCACATTCTGCTGAATGATCAATGGAGTCTGGAGCGAGGAGGGGAAAGGAATGAAATGCTGACGGCAACTCCTAGCCCCAACTTTCACTTTACTGCTGTAATTGAGTGCAGGCGTATTAGCATGGGTTCTGCCAGCAGGAAAACCGTCACTCACTTCCCCTCTGACAGAGGCCATTTGTCAAGCAGAACTGCGTCACGTCTGGAACAGATTTCAGGGCCCGTTTGCCCCTCCATTATTCACTGTGATGGGAGCTGTGTGCGCACCGAGTGTGGGTGTACGGTGAGCAGAGGAAAACAACCCCTCTGTGCTCCGCTGCTGCAGCGATCAAAGCAGCCCATCGTGGGAGCTGCATTCTCGCACGGGAGCTGGAAAATGCCTCGCGCTCCTGGAGAGACTGGCCTTTGCACTTCTGGAGCCAGGTGGCATAGGACGTGGAGGAAAATCGGGTTGTTCCCAGGCTGCTCTGCTCCACGCACCTGGGGAATATGGACTGACATTTATATGCCACAAAGGACAGCCCTGATTATCCCAAATACCTCTTCCTTGCACCAGACGTGCGTACCCATTTTCAGTGAAGTTTCGAATAAGTGAGGTTCCCAGTTGGGCCAGTTCAGCCAGCTTCTGTGTTTCTACCTAAAGCCCCTCGGTTCGGCTGACCCAAGGAGCTTTGGGGAAACCAGCCGGCTATGTATAAATGTAGGAAGTGACCCATAAGAGCAAGCTTGTATAGCTGCGCCCAGAGCTCCCTGCTGTACCAGGGCTGCAAACAGACAGATACCTTCAGAAAATGTCAGCTGCATTTCCTCATGCCTTGCTGAACTCTCGCTGTCATTTTGTCCCCTTGGACTGCTCACAGCCAGGCTGCTTTACATCACTAGAAGGGTCTGGCCAGTCTCAAGCTGCCCTCTGATGTGGGGGACACAAAAGCCATGCCTGCATCCATTAGCAACACCAAGGGTCCGGGCCTCCGCTTCTAATTAAACAGCTAGTGCAACAAATAATTAATGCTTTACATACTGAGCAGTACAGGATGTGTCCACACAACACTGTTCACTCCCATGCAGATCTCCAAGATAGCTCCCAACAGCCGAACTCAGGGACCAGGACCAGTAGGGCTGGGGTGGCATGGTGTTCTGCCCAGGCTAACCAGCCCTGTGGGGAAGCGGGGTATATTCATCCCCGCTTCATGTTCCTCCCAAGTGCTGCCCGGAGAGGCCTTCTCACCGCCAGTCTGATTATACTGTTTGTGCTCCTCGGTAGGAAGGTGTGGCACAACTTTCAGGCAGCAGAACGATAAAGGCTCTATTGCCTTTAGATCACGCTGACTTACGAGCAGTGGACAGCCATGATATCCCTTCACCTTACTTTGCAGCACCTGTGCCTATGGCTTGCAAGTGTGTCTATCATGATAGGATCTAGGCAACACCAATAACAGCTCCGGTGCGTGAGGACCTTTACTGGAAGACATCCTCCTCTGCTTTTTCCTCTTAGATGTTGGATTAGAAGCTGGAGGTTTTTGTCTTTACTAACCAGGAGATACTACAAATAATATACATCAGATTATTTCCACTTTTGTGAATGGTGGATGAGACCTCAGCATTATACTATAGCCAAATACATTTAGTTTACAATTGTTCAGTCCCAACAGCATTTTTCCTTCCCCAAATGATACATTTCTAAAGAGATTTCTTTGGCTATTTTTAAATTACATTAGGGAAACCCTTTCCCCACCACCCAGAGGAGGAAAGTTCAAGTGGATGGAGGTGTTACATTATTTGCGCACACACGACTGAGAAGTTCAACACGCCCCAAACCCTGCAGACTTTTATTCCATAATTCAGAACTGAACTCTGCTGCCTGCCTGCCCCATTTTAAAAAGCGACAAAAAACCCAAAGCGATTTCATTCGAAACCAATTTCTGCAAGTGCATACTCATGGTTTTTGTCTCAAATTTAATAAAGTTTTTGGAGACACCCAGTTGCTTGGCCCAGCTCTACTGCGGCATTATGAAGTTTAAAAAAAAGAAAAGTCCACTAGATGCACACTAACTCCAGCTTTGTCTTCATCTCAAATGCCAGACACCTAACAGTGCAATAATAATCATCTATCAGGTAAAGAGATTTGACATCAGTATGTGCCTCAAAATTGGTATGCAATGGATCCTGATGTTGCATAAGGAAACATTCAAGCCCAGCAATGCGTGTAAGAGAGTATAACTTAACATGTGTTTTACCAGGGTAAGGGATGCGCGTGCTGTATAAACCTGCTCACTCCCAAGGTTTATAGGAAACATTCCCAGCCTTCAGCTATAAAGGTGATGACACCGTGCCTATTCATATCAAAGCGCTTGAGCAGAGCTTTGGATAGCTGGGTTTGCACTGCACGGACATTTAGCTAATCTTACGTACTTCCACAAGCCTAAAATATGGGCTGCATGATAGCAATATGAGCTAAGGTATATGCTTTACAGCCTATAAAAGATTTGTACTTAATTTACTCTACAAAGGTTATAGTTGTGTGAGATTTTAATTTCCTGGCTAGTAAGCAGCGCTGCTGTCTGGACTATCTGTGCTACTGGACCGTTATATCACCCTCCGCTAGCTGAAAGCAAACAGATAACAGAGGCTCTACTTGACACGGGTTGACTTTGTTTGAAGTACCTTTTCTTTTTGAGCAGAACTTCAGACCTTTCCTTCTCCCTACACTGACTGCAGGCACCTTAAGTGACCGTCGTGGACCTATTTGAGATCCTGCGTATAAAGACAAGACTGCAGACCCGTTACATATCCGATGCATTCAGTCACCCTCAATGCAGAACTCCTGTCACCTGTGGATTTTTGTTCCACAGCCCTTAGCAGTGAATAGCAGTCTGTACTTAATACAAGGAAAAGAGAGGGAGTAATCCAACCAGAACCGATTAGCATGCCTCCCAGCTGAACGGATGCTCATCACGTTCCAACCCTCTGACAACTACCCATTTAGGTAGCAACACCTAAGGTGCTTTCCCTGCTAAAGGACTAAGTTCACTGTTTAACTGTCAGAGTGCAGCCCCACTCTTACATATTTTAGTAGCTGGAGCAGAGCTGTTGGAGTATACTTTCACTAGAAGGATTTACTGTGAACCTTTGGCAAGAGAGCAGGCTAAGAAGGGCCTGGGGTGTTGTGTTACTGCTATTCTGCTTATCAGCCTGAATCCGAGGTACTTGGGAGCAGTGGCAACTCAACTACAAAGCCTTTATGCATGGTAAACCTATTCCTTTAACAGGATTACCATTTTGATCTCTTTGTTAGAGAGGTTTCCATTGTCTGGGCCTCTGACAAATGGTCCCAAAGCTCATTTAGTTATTTAATATGGTTATGATGAACCAATCTGCTGATTAAACTCTCATTAATTAGGTGGTGGCAGCCACAGCAGCTTGGGTGGGAGGGATGAAAGCAAGGTGCAGGGGCAAGGTGACCCCCAGGAACAGCTTGGGGTAACAGCCAAAATTTTACCAGTTTTACTGACGTGGTTAGACACCCCCTTTCTGGTCTTGGCTGCTCTTCCTAGAGAGCATGAGTAGAGGGCTGGAGCTACAGTTCATATGGGAGAGCCACGGGGATGCTGAGAACAGTCTCAGAGCACGCAGACTATTCTCATTTGAATAGTCTCCTGGCAGTAGCTCTCCCAGTGCGGAGGAGGAGGCACTGCCTGTTGCCCCTGAGGGACAGGAACGTGGTTCTTGCAGCAGAAGCAGCCGGACCTGTGCCTTAGTTTTCTCTGGCTTTGTCCCACGCTGCACCCAGAAGAGGAGCAGAAGGGTCTGGGGTTGGGGTCTGGCCAGATGCTGCATGCTCCCACTCTGGATTTTGCTTCAGAAGGAGAAAAACTGAGCCCGGGCCAGGAGTATCTGAAGAGATGAGAGCTGTGCCTTGTCCTCAAAGAGACCGGGCTCACCTACCTCTTCTGTCCCTTGGGAGCTCCCTTTGGGAATCTCAGGGAGTAAAGTGGGGATTGAAAACGAAATCCCTCTGCTCCTTCCTGCTTAGTGTCTGCATTGCAGCTGCAAGCTAGGGACGCCAGCTGGAAGCCCTGGGGAGACCTGCTAGAGCTGGCTGCAAGGGGAGTCTGGTGGCTCAGCTCCTCAGCTTGTGGCTGCTGGTGTGAGCTCTTCCGCTGCCCTCCCAGTGCTGGTCTCCTGGCGGAGGTAGGATGGGCACCTGCTTGCTTTAGACCTGCCTTTTCTCTGCTGCCTGCCTCCTTTCCTGGTTGTGGGAGCTGGGGGTGAGGCTACTCCTGAGACTGAGGAGGAACTACCCTCAGCCCCCAGCTGACCCTCCATGAAGGTACTTGCTCCGTACAGAAGCCTTGCCTTTGCTCTGTTCTTTCTCGGCCTCACGTGCTGACGGCGTATGGGCAGCAGCGGTGACGTACACTTCAGAAGGGGAAGTGGAGCTTTGGGGAAGGTCCCCAAAAGAAAAATGCACCCCCGAGTCACTCCAGGGAAGCAGATGGCCACGAGGGAGCCAAACTGCCAGCCAGAATGGTGAAAAGCACACCTTTCCCATCAAAAAGAGCTGCAGCAGGGAAGGGTCAGCCAGCTGCGAGATGAGGCATGTCCCTGCTGCCAGGGGCCCAGCTGCAGGTGCAGCAAAGCACCTTCAGAGCAGGGCGAAGAGCAAACTGGGCCTCTCCTGCAGAGACCAGAATTGCAGACAGGCACGGTCACCTGCAGCTCTGATGTCCAAGGTGGGAACGTGGGGTTTTACTGGTATTTACTGCAAAGAGGCTTTAGAGGATGCACATAATTCCTCATCCTGTTGTCCCGTGTGCGTCACGGGACTGAGGAACAGTGCACACAGGTGAGCTGTCCTAATGCAGGCCAGGCCGGCTGCCGGAGAGCGCCCCGAGGGCACTGCTGCACCAGAGGTTAGCGCTGCCTGGAAAATGAATGCTCGCACTCTTGGACAGAGCAGAACAGATGCTGAAGCACGGCTGGTCCCCCTAAGAAGGTGCAACGTTGGGGGACTCCACATCTCCTCTCCACTGTAAAATTAAGACTGGAGGGGATTTTTGAAACAGCAGGCGGGGGGGATTTTTGAATATGCTTCCCAGCAGCAGGCTGGCTTCACGGGGGCACGCGTGAGAGTACCCAGAACTG